AGGCTTTGATCTTTCTCATGACCAGCTTTCCTCAAGGCTAAGACCTCTTTCTGTAGCAAATCATACAAAACCCCAGAAACACTATCCTCCGTATCAACCGTCGGGAAGTCATTTGGCTTATCATCTGAATTTCCTTTCCAATTATCATTTTCTTCCCGATGTTTGGTTCCTTCAGAAGACTGATTGAATGAATAACTTGGAGGTTTTCCATTTAGAAGAATTTTACTCCTTTCTAATGACCTTGTGCCGCCATCAAATGATTTAGATGTGCCTTTAGCATGCTTCAAAACTGTGCTTGAAGATACAGAAGACCTAAGTTGAATGGATGGTGATCTTTTCAGAAACCCATTAGATGTTAGTTTAGAGATGTTATCAGCTCCACCAAGGGATTGACGTCGAGAAGGCCCATTGCTAATACATCTTCCCTCTGAGGTGCCGCGATTAATACTGTTAGAAGTTTCTCTCAAACTCTCCTGTAGCACTTTAAGCCTTAATTGATATTTTTCCTGAAAATTGTAAAAGGTTTACCTTGAGTAACGGCAGAAGTAATCTCCTAAGCTAATACATGGGGGCTGTAAAACCAGATTATTACTTTTAACTGTGCTTCAGACTTTGCAGTGCGCTCAGTTATAGCAAGCTTGTCTCGAAGTTGCTGCATCTCTCCCTACAAGAATGTAGTTTGGTAAAAACAAATTGAAACCGCATTGAAGGGAAACAAAATTCAGGAAGAATTTAGGTATTTATTATTCAAAGAAAAAAGCTTACATCAAAAGGAATCAGAAATAATATTCACCTGCAAGAATCGTCGTTCTTCAAGCCATTGTTTTACAGGCATCACTTTGTCGTTAGCATCCTTCCATTCATTAGCAACCACTACAGCTACTCTGTTTGCTGTTACCTTGGCACGAGCTAACTCCCGGTCAAGTGTTTTTCTTTCTTCCTATGTAGTGTCAAAAAAGACATGCAGCAATTAGCATGCTTAAGTTATGATTGAGTAAACAAACAAGAAGAGTATAGTTAATATAGTTAACTCATTACATTCATTTCTTGAACTTTCCGCTGATAATCTCTCACAGCATTGGCAGCCGCACCACCTGCAAGTACAGCCTCTTCTAGTTCCCTCACGGTTTGGGTAAGTTTTTCAACCTCTGCCACTTTCAGTCTATGCATTTTGTCCAAAATTTTATTTTCTTCCTGGGAGAGAATATGATGACACCAAATGTAAGAAATTAAATTATTACAGATGGCATAATTGGAGAAGAAACATCGTACAAAATTGCAAATACCTGGCAAATCTCAATCTGTTTAATTAGCTCTTGATTTTTATTTTGGAGATCATCCACCATGGAGGCCTTAGCCAAGGCAATCTGAACAGTCTTCTCAGCTTCAAGAAGTGCTGCTTCTTTAGATTTGGTAAGTCGATCTAATGCTTTGTTATCATCTTGAAGTTTAGCAATCTGCAAGGAACATGTTAAAGAAAGTAATTACATAAATCACCTATGACAGGCCAGCTTCAGTTGCCTTCATCAGTTTCTTATGGGAATCACATTCAAATTAGAAGAACAAAGTAACATTACCTCTTGCCGGGCAAGCTTAAGTTCAGCTTCTAGAGGAGCAAGAATGGCCTCTATAGGAGGCATGTCATCATCCTTCTGAGCAGCATGGACCCTCCGAAGAGTGGCCTCAGCAGCAAACTGAGCTGCCATCGATGCTTTCTTGTCATCATTGATTTTCTTTATTTCAAGATTCTGCAAGAAATATCCAGTTTAGTAAACACGTCATGTGACCTAAATAATTTAGTCCTCGCTAAGGTTGATAGAGGGTTGAAGTAATACTTTGCTTTCTAGAAGAGACTCTGTTAACTTTAGCTTCCCTTCAACCTTTGACAACTCTTCAGTAAGCTACAGAACAACGAAAAAAAAAATACAGAAAACAAAGTTACATTTCAAGCTGACGTTAAGTGATGAATCTATACATTAAAAAGAAAACGAATAAATGAAAGCATGGCACATGAACAAGTTCTCAGGTGACCATGCACTACAAACAATTGAAATAAACACATGAAACAGAAAAACTGGAAGAATGACTATGGAACCATAAATATACGCACAGTAAACACCAAAACAATACCACCATTCACCAAGAAACAAAAACGGGCATATACAGAGTATTTTGTATAATTTTTTTTTTGGTAAGTAATAAAATCAGCGAGCAAAGAAGCATTGTCCGGTGCTAAAGTTGAAAAATAAAAAAATAAAGAAATTAGTAATGAAGTTTCCATATTCCTAAGTCGTAATTCTAACCGTAATAGCAATGATCATTTCAGAATCTTGTAATTGATTCAATTTAACTTCAATAATACGACGAAGCTAAATTTAGAAGGTGACCTCTTCAACGGCCTTTTCTCTGAGCCGTTCAGAGAGCCTCAAGGCTTTGATCTCCGCTTGCGCTTCCGACAATTCCCTGTCCTTATCTGCAAACACGACGCAACACAAGCGAGTCACCATTAGTCAACAACGCGAAGCAAAATCAGGCCAAAAACTCGCCAGATCGAGTCGCATTTTCGCACCTCTAACTTCATTCTCCAACCGATTGAGCTCCACCTTCACCGGATCCGAACCGTGCAACAAGTTCATGAACTCGTCCGCGTCGAGGCTCTGCCTCATCGAAGGCGCGCGCCTCCGCGACGAGCCTTTCCCCTCCTTGAACGATCCGGACACCGCCAACGGCGCGACCGGCGTGGCCACAGTCGCCTCCGCTCCACCGTCGCCGGAAACCTCCGCCATGGCCGATCTAACCGATGCCGTAAGCAGTCACATCCACGTGCTCGCAGCTCCGCGGATCCCTACGCGCGCAGTTAGACTAAGTGCAAGAGTCGCAGAGAAAATGCAGCTCTGAGAAGGAGACGGTGGTTTTAGAGAGAGAGTTCGGGAGATAGATGGTTTCATAGTCTGTGCTTGTTTCTCTCTCTAGATTGTGATTTTAAATCTGGGCTTTCTTTTCCACTTCTTTTTCTTTTTTTCCTTTTTTTTTAATTGTTGTTCTGTGTGTATGTGTGTGTTGCAGTGAGAGTGATAGTGAGATTAAATAAATCTGAGTAATCAGTGAGTGTATAGCTGGCTGTTATGGTTAAGCAGACCAATACTGAGTGTGTGACAGGGAAACACAGTAAACCCTTTCTCATCATCTTATTATGTTAATCACTCTAGTAAAGCCCAAGCCATGGGCTTCAAGCCGGTAGCGTAATGCGCACTCCATGCATTTCCAACTTAAACCATCTTCGATATGCGTACGATAGCCGGTGGGACCCGGAACCGGCTTAGCTGGTAAACGTGTTCTGTTTGGACAAACAAACTCACAACTCGCTGCCATTAACATTAACTAATACATATATGACGTTTTAAGTTTTGAAGGGATCATCACCATAAATAAAAACATCAAAATGCAATGAATTGCCAGAGTAGAAGTTGTAGACGAGGAAGAGAGTCTTTGACTATAACGATAAGACAACGTTAAAAAAAATATACCAAACTACAAAAACTGACAAATCTTACTACTACCAGAAAATTGTATGCCCGTGTCCAAGCTTCAAAATACCAGACAGAATACAAAACTTCGAAATTCCGCATAAATAACAAAATATTACATTTCTTTATAATACTGCCAATTCAACATTCAGATATGGGATATATATATATATATATATATATATATATAATAATTTATAGAGGATTGGTTGTACAGTGTTTATCTTTTATTATTTATAACATCTGGATTTACTTTTTTCCCTCCTTTATTGTTTCTGGAATATGATTTTTCAGAAATAATTCTTACGGTAATATATTTATATAAATAGTTCTTAAAATGTTAAACATTAATTTGGCATGTATATGTACTAAGTATCTACTAATCATTCAAGCATCATATTTTACCAACATCCGAGAACTAAATTAAATTAAATTATTAACATTATTAATAGTTATGAGATAATTTAATATGCTTTGTAATATTTTAATAATAAGTAATATAATTTCTTGATCATAGATTCTGTTCATTTGTAAATCATGTCTGTGTTTACAGTGAAATCAAAATGTTTTGACCTTAAAACTTTCTGGCGGTTGGATTTCAAAGCTCCACTGATATGATTTCAATTTCAAATGTCTTCTGCACGTTCATTCCTTCGGAAATGAAAAAATCAAAAGGCTTTTCGGATTCTAAGCAGCAAAGTTTTCTCCACACCGTGTAGTATAACTTGCTTGAGACACTGTAGGTGGTAAACTAGAAATTCTATCGGAAAACCTGTGGTTTAGAAAATTGGTCCACACTACACTGTCGCGTGTAAAGTTAAATCTTTCAGCAGAAGAATATGTTCGCCCTCCATAATCTGTAAAATTGTATTAGCGACAGAATTGGGAGTGTTGTGGGTGTATCTTAAAGCACTTTTGACACACAAGGTGTGTGTCTGCTCCCAGACTTGTTCACATGGAGGGTCCTTCCCACCATGTTTGACAGTGGCACCTCAAATATGATGGGACCAGGGCCACAACTTGGAGGGCAGTGAGAGCAAAGTAGTTTCGCTTGAACAACAACCCAAAGCGGTGACTCGCACCGTTATCAATTCGCTAGATTCACTGTCCTGGGAGCAGAGGTCATGATCGATTGTGGGGTCTAACCAAGTTTCTTTCCAATATTCATGCCCGTAATGTGACAACTTACCTCACAAAACACAACTATGCAACCAGTTTAATTCTTAACTAGGGTCACACTATACTTCAATCAATTTCAATAACCAGACAGCTAACAAATTCACATCAGCGTGTGAACATTTGATTGGTGGTGTAGGTCACTGAGTATTGAATTAAAATACATCAATAATTTCCTCCAAATTAACAATAGCACCTTCTCACATGGGCGTACGCAAACATGTTCGTGTGGCTACGCTTAGCGATAAAAATGACAATAAAATACAACAAATAAATCGTATTAATTTCAGAGATGCGTTTAATCAAATCTCATGGGAACTTAAACCCAGATCACACTTTTCTTTCAATTATGAAATCTGCCATTAAGTTAGGACAGCGTGAAAGTTTTATAAATCCATGAAGATTTTGGTATTTGAAACAGGGTCAAAACCAATAAACTCAATAATAAAGGAAATAACAAAAACCTGCAAAACATATAATTACTGGGTCCTAGCAAAATACTTAAAACACTCATCAACAGATAACTTCAAAATTGCTAGCTCAAGCATCAAGCTTCAACTCTTTCCTCTTCCAGGATAAGGGCCTTTCCTGTTGGCTTTGCCAATAGATCTGTGTATTCTTGGAATGGTGATTTAGAGAAGCGAGTTTCCTTCCAGAATTCGGGTGTTAGAAAACCGTAGGTTTTAAGCAGGCAATCAAAAGTGGCCTGTAAAAAGATAACCGGAATTAGAAAAACAGATTAATAAACAAATAACTAAGACTCAGATCTATTTACTTATTGGTTATTCAATATTTCAAAATGCATACGAATGGTTTAAAAAACTAAAAATGGTGTTACTACATTGGATGGGGACAGATGCAATAAAAACAAATACTACCCCACTTCAAAAAACTTATAATAACCCATTCAGGGAGAACAATGGGAAAGGTAATATTAATTAAAGTTCTCTACTTAGTTCAAATTAGTCTCGACACAAGTTAACAATCTACGAAGAAGCTTACTAAAGAGATTTTACATATTAGCTTACTGATAAACTAAACATAAAATATAAAATAATTCACTTAGGTTTTCTCCTCTTATTTCCATTAAGTAAAAGTACTGATTGAGTTCATTAAAGAAACTGACTAAATTTTACACTGAACTGATATGTCTTCGTAGAGCAATTTGTAGTACTAAATTAGACAACCAGAATTAAGCATAAAGCAACCAAACGCGTAATAGAAATGTAAAGTAAATCATATAGTCTTTCCGTGCATCCAAGGGTAATGTAAGATCATACACAATTACAAGAGTTGATCCAATAAGCAAAACACAATAACCACCGATACAATTAATTAAGCTTCAACGATGTCATCATCCAGTTACAAAAAAGCAAGGACATAGGGTTGCAATACAAAAACCCTACAAATGCAATGAACATGGCAAAGGCTTTTAAAAGGAGCATGTATAAATTGCTTGTAAAATTTAAACACTTGAGAGAAGTCGTTAAAACCATTATAAATCATCGTTATCAAGCATTATCCAATAAACGAAACAAACAATAAAAAAACAAAACTAAATATAATAAGGGTAAGGGTTAACCTTGACGAAGTTTCCGAGGGTTTTGGTTGAACCTCTGGAGGAGGTGAAAACATCATCGATTCCGGCGAACTGCAATACCTTTTTGGGGACCCTGGCAGCGACGATACCGGACCCACGAGGGGCAGGGACCATGCGAACTGTGACGGAACCACACTTTCCGGTAACCTTACAGGGAACGGTGTGGGGCTTTCCAATCTTGTTTCCCCAATACCCTCTCCTGACGGGAATAACAGAGAGCTTAGCCAAGATAATGGCGCCACGAATGGCGGTGGCGACTTCCTTGCTGCACTTGACACCGAGACCCACGTGGCCGTTACCGTCACCAACGACGACGAAGGCCTTGAAGCGCGTACGCTGACCGGCGCGAGTCTGTTTCTGGACAGGCATGATCTTCATGACCTCGTCTTTGAGAGTAGGACCGACGAGGGTGTCGATTATTTGGTGCTCCTTAATTGGGAGTGAGTGCAGGTAGATCTGTTCCAGGCTCCGGATTTTACCATCCTTTACGAGGCGTCCAAGTTTCGTTACAGGAACCCATTTTTCCTCCTCCTCGCGGCGCCCGGCCCTACGGCGTCCGCCACGGCCCCTGTCGCCGCGACCGCGACCGCCGAAGCCACGACCGAATCCACCACGATCTCCACTTCCACGTTCGGCCATGTTGTTTGCGGTGTACGAGAGAGGGAAGGGGAAGGAGTGAGGGTGTAACTGCGCTTGTGAAAAATGGGAGAAGGTTCTCTCTGTAGGGTTTCTGGTTCGAGTGTTGTTCTATATATCTAAGTATATAATGAAAGGGTCAGCGTAGGGTTTTCGTTTTGCTTGATGTGATGGGCTGGCCCAACTATTTCTGGGCTTATTATTTCAAATATTGGACACAGACGAAGAAAAAGCAATTGAAGATTATACAAGCTTGAATAGAGGAAAAATGCCTTAAAAAGTCCTTGATAAGATCACAAATTCACAATAACCGAAAAGGGAAAGAAAAAATAAATAAAAGGAGAATTACAAGATTGTTTATAGACGTACTACCAAGTTTAGTTACACTAACACATGTTCACTTATAAGCATGGAAGTATTGAATGCAATAATATTAGTCTTATGCAAATTTGTTTTTCCCTATAACTATTAAAATCAATACACCATAGACAATCATAAAATTTTACTACACAATCTATTAAATCAAATGAACTAAACTCCCTTCAAACACCATTCATTTTAAATATAAGAGAAACATAGAAAAACATAATCCTTAAAATAAATTGGCGTAGGAAGAAAATAATAGGGTGCAGGAAGCAAAAGCCGAAATAAATTACGTTTACCCAATTATTTATTAAAGCCAATAGTGAAATTTGTAATTAATTTTATAAAAAAATATGGCTGTATCTGAACACCCCCTTAGCCCCGATATCCCACAGAATGAACACCGAAAATTTTCAAATATCAAGGTTTGATTTGCGACATCTAGTGTAGCTCGAACCGATCATTAAAAGAGATATATGTTGACAAGCCTGGAATTTGTTTAAAAAATTAGATATAATAAAAAGTAAATTTGTAATTAAGTGATGTAAAAATATTACAAAAAAAACAATATTAAAGGTTGTTAAGTGAGTGTAAAAAAGAAAGTGAACTATCAACATATGAAGGTCCTGGTTAAAAATTAAGCAATTATCTCCCTTCAACCAAAAAACACAGAAAAATTCATAAATAAGCTCATGGAATAAGTTGGAAGTTAGACCGACACACTTTCCATTGTTAAATTAGGGCAAAATTAAATATTTAAACTATTCAACACAATTACTAGATCTCCTCTCTAAGCAGCTTTCCTTCTCACCTATATTTTCTCTACACAAACATTTAAGCAAAACAATGACAGTTACAACGAGAAAATTGGAAGAAGTTACACTCTTTAATGTCTTGATAGTATCTACATATACACATCAGCAGTTGAAAACCATGAACTATTTTATACTTAAGCTCAGCTTAAAATCATATTTTTGATCGTCTTTAGTATTCTGTCACACCTGTTCATTTCCCTTCAGAATATTGAACTTGCAAAGAGGACAAGTTGCATTCATCTTCAGCCATTTCACTATGCATGTAGAATGGAAATGATGGTTACACGGAAGAACATGAAGTTCTGCTCCATCCTCATAAGAAGAGATGCATATACAGCATTCCTAAGAAGAAAAAAGAAATTGATTTATTACTTTCACAAATCTTTTGAATGTTATTATATCACAATGCAAATAGATCCCTTTCCAAAGAACTTATGAAACTACAGCATGAATCTTTATATGCAGTGACCAATATAGAAAATCAAATAGCCATCTTGCAGAAGTAATAAGCTACTTAAGGCTGAAAAATTAATTCAGTCCAGCAAAACATACTGCATCATCAGGTGAAAGTATTCGTTCATTCACTGAGTAACCACTGATAGTCTCCACGGGAATCATTGATCCACCTCCCTTACTAGGTGTTTCCTCATTGCTTAACATTTGATATTTGTATCTCGGAAGTACACTGAGATCCGATTCTGATGCACCTTCCTATAGTCTCATGAAACGAGGCATTGAGATTGGAAGCCAACAAATATTTGAATGTCAGGATTTATGATTAAAGAGAAAGAAACACGTACCTGTCCTGCAACAGCATAGAGAATAGCAATAATACAGGGTAAACAACAACAGAGAGCAATTCCAATCAAGCATGCCAACACAACACAAAAGATGGCAAAAAAGACATCAAATGCAAGGAAGACAACAGCCAACCTGTACATATAAATCCAAAGAAAAAGAAATTTAGTATCAACAATGTTACCTAATTCTTCATGCAATCCATCAATTTTTGTCAGTAAAACAATATAACAAACAAAATTAATAAAAAAAAAACTCTTTTATAATGATTTTTCTTCAAAGAAAGATTATTTATCATTTGCTTTGGTCTATATTTAGCGTTTTAAATATTGGGGACTATTTTTCACAAAAACAAAAGAGTTATTCAATTCATTTCTCATATATTAGGATATATTTAGTCATTGGATCAGAAAATAAAAGGCCACAACTTTATGCATTACTAATATAAGCATGGATATTACTAGTTTTCATAAATAACTTTAAAATAAACATATCACTCTTTGACAAACATAAATAAATAGGAGAATCTTCTGTAAACTTTTGTAACCATACCTCTTTTTGCAGGAAAAATATTCTTATACATGTATGTACATTATTAATGCAAGAGCGCATATTGTTTTTATGCACCTCCGTGGTAAAATATAAGCATTATTCTTGAAAGTCAGTTTAAATAATGCCAAACTTACCAGTACAAACGTGGAGCATCTTGCAGAAGAATATCACCACCAGAGACAACCCAGTAAAAGCCCACCATCCACCAAAGTAACGAAACCATGGTATTCAATGATGCGCATCGTTTTGTGAATCTGGGTTGTAGGTAATCAAAATCAGTATACCAACCAAACACAATATAAAAATGCATATGATAATAAACCAGATAGCATGCAACTCCATAGCAGATTAAAATCAATAGAGCAGAACGACCCCCCAACACAGTAAAAGACTTTTAATTTTCTTTCCCCACAGTGAAAGTATATAACCCGACAGTTAGTCCTCACATTACATAAATTGAAGCAGAGTTTCTATACCAAAATATCAGTAGAAGGGTTCCAATGACTAAAATCTTAATGACACTTGGAGTCCTTTAATTAATCATATACACAAACCATAATCCCTAATAATACCATAATGCTTTCACCCACACATTATCTATAACTACAATATTCCAGTATCATCTGAGTCACCTTAACTTCTGAAGCAACAAAATCCAGCAAGAACTTGGTTCACATACCGGGATAGAAAAGTATAGGGCTTCATTAGGTATTCAAATTGGCAATATGTCTTAGTATTCCTCATTAGTACTGCTATCCGAATAAAACCCAAGATTCATACAATTGAAGTTTTAACCATGATTTATGCATAGATATTGAAAGTTTCAATAAAAGAATTAGCACGTGCAACCTGTCCCTATACAAGGATTTTACAATACAAGGAAAATGTCCCTATATAATAAAAGGAACATAATAAAGATTTCACAATACAAGGAAAAGGTACCAAAACGGCTACATACTTAACAAGATTCTAGATTCATTCTTGAAGTAAATGTAAGACTGTAAGATGCAGAAACTAATAGGCACAAGTAAATGATTTTCTTTAAGGTAGAAGACGAGCTATAGTGCAAAGGTAAAGTCACGTCCTAATAACCGGTTGGTCATGGGCTCCAATCTGGACAGCCTCTTTGATATGCAAGATGAAGACGACCTACAATTACCCTCCCTCGTACATTCGCTACGCAAGAAGCCTCTCGCACCGGGGTGATACATTAGTTTTTTAGCAAGTTTAGGTATGTTGTGTTACAAGAACTCGCCAAGGTCAATACAAACCTCACATTGACAAAGTTACATATACATAGATACATATTCACCGTCACTGTCCTCAGCAGCAACATTCAAACTCGCTTTCTAATATGATATGAGTCCTATTCTAACCAATTGGAACAACCTTCCTACGGATAATTGGGTATACGTACAGATAGAACCGTTAATTGAAATACGGCAAAACTATTCATAATAACACAGAACCCAACATGAAGAAAATCTATGGTAATATACACAAATTTATATTAATCGAACCCCATGAAAACCGAAAACTAACAAATTGGCGTGTTTTTAATTGAAAATCAGCAATTGAATTGAAATGAAATTGAACGCACCCAGTGGAAGGGGAACTCCCAGAGGTTCCAGAATCCTCCTCTTCGCTGTCGTTGACGTCGTCATATTCGAGGTGGCCGCCAGACTCCTCGTCCCTGGGCGCGTCGCTCCTCCTCCTGTACTCAACCCACACGAGCGCCACGTGGAGGAGGCACTGCAGGGCGTAGCCGCAGATCCACCACCGGATCGGCGTGTTGGGATTTTCCTTGACGGTGCAGGCGAGCATCACCGCTGAGACCACCACAAAGGCCATGTTCCATGTCATGTCGAGCGCCACCACCGGCTTCGAGTATGTCCAGTCGGCGCGGCGCTCGTCGAGCTCACGGGCCGCGGTCTCCCGGACGACGGCGGAATGGCCGCGGCGGCCGAGGAGGAGTGCGAGGACGGGGAGACGGGCCGTGGCGGCATCGGGACGCGGGATGAGCAGCGGCGCGTGGGGCTGAGGGGCGGAATTTGAGGAAGACATGATGATTGACGGCTAGAGAGAGAAAAACATAACTGAAAGTTGAAACACAGAAGAAAAAACGGGTAATAGAGAGGGAAACGTTTCTTGTTTCTTGTTCTTGTTGTTCAAGTATATTAGTTGCGTTGAATTTAGGATGATTATGGTTTTGGTCGTTGAAAAAAGAAAAATGTAATGTTTCGGTGCCAGGAAGAAGATGAGGCGAACAGTTCAGAACACAGTGCCTATATTCTTGGCTTTCGACGCGTCTTTTATCTTCTTCCTACTTCCATTAGGTTTAAATTTTAAAAACAACTATTTTACTGTACCAAAAATTAATATTGTTTACAAACTATTTTACAACATCGAAATAATAATAATACTTAATAATATTAAATTCTAATTACTGTAATAGATTATGAAAATGCAGGTCATGTTTTGTTTGTACTAGCTGATTTGAGATATTTGCAATGATAAATTTAAGGGAGCATGAGAGAATGTAATTTTTCTTGGAAGTTTTGATTGAAAAATATTTAACAGTGA